GGCGCCGCGCGACTCGCTGCCCTCCACGTCTGCGGCGCCGCCGGCCCTGTACGCGCCTGCCGGCCTCAACGGCCACCAGCCGCTCGGCTTCCCCGCGGCCGCGCTCAGGGACGGCCTGCCCCACGGCTACCCGCCCTATCTCGGCTACGTGAGGTAAGAGCCTCGTCTGTAAGTGGCACTGCCCTGGCCCCGCGACTTGCGCTTCCCGCACACGGTGCAGGTGCGGGGCCGGGGTCGGCGAGAAGAAGAAGCTTGGTGTGGTAGGAGCATGTCGGCGGGTAGAGCGGCGCGGCGGGCCAGGACTTGTGAGGGCGCTTGCGGTCTGTTGTGCGCCCACCGGCAGGGCTGGGAGAGACTGGTAAATAAAACCAGTGTTATTTGCTTTTGCCATGGGAAAGGCTTGTCGGAGTTAAATGGAGTGCTCGCACTTCCAGGAGCTTTCCTCTCCTCTCCTCTCCTCTCCTCTGCTGCATCCTGTTGTCTTGTAGCGAAAAGCTTCCCTTCAGCTTTGCAGGCAAGGCTCTTTGAGTGCTCCCTTTTATCGGACCAACTGAGTAGCTGGAAAGAAAAAAAAAGTTTTAGGCGAGCTTTCGGGCACAGTTGCCCTTCTTCAGGCATAGGGAGCCTCGCTAGCCTGAGACTCTCTTCAGCTTTGTCGCTGCTATGTTGGACCGACTGCTGCTGGGATACCGTGAGACGAGTTTTCCAAAGCCAGGCGTTTTTCCTCCTGTCTCTTGTGTCCGACTGCCTTGCATTCAGAAACTTGTCTCACTTGATTGCAACTACATTGAACCAACTCTGTGGTTGGGATAAAGTTAGACAAGCTTTCCAGTGCCAGCTGTTCTTCCTCCCATCTCTGGCATTCAACTCTGTCTTGCATCCAAAAGCTTGTCTGACTATTGCAGCTACGCTGGGCCAACTGCTGTTGGAATAATGCTAGACAACTTTTCCAATGCAATGCATTTTTCCTCTGGTCTCTTGCGTTTGACCATCTTGCATTGCAAAGCTGGTCTAACTTTATCTGAGCTACATAATTGGTCTAATAAAAGGTATAACCGTAAGAAATCCTTGCCTCACACATTTCAGAATAAGAGATAAGTTCCAATGAAACAAATAAGAGAGAGTTTTAGTTGACTGAAACTCAAAAGGAATGCTTCCTGTCACAGACTATACTGCTGCACTTTGTGATGTCTTTTAGCTCTGGTCAGAAAACAATTATTATTTTTCACTTCATGGACTCTCCCTTATGATGGAGACTTTTTAAAATGCTTTTGTCACTGTAAGAGTGATGTTTTTGTCACCGTTTTATTGTACCTTAAAAAAGTGGTATTTCGCAATCATTAACGTTGTTTAATACTGTGGAAATGATTAGCAGGTGTCAGTTCAAAACAACCTAAAATTGGTGAAGATCTCAGCTTATACACAGGTATCTTCTCCAATCTGTGTTGCATTTTACAGGTAGGCAACACGTAGACATTTCTATGATTTTTCAGGGTATACATGCATGAGAAGCACTCTCAAGATAGAAGTATGAACATTGAAGTGTATCAGATCTTATCTAATTTGTTAAAATGACTAAGTCTCATTCTAATAGAAACTGCATGCTATGTTATAATATTTACTAATACAGTAAGGATAGCGTTCATTTTTTAAATATCAATTTTCTAGTGAATGAGGATACTGTATTTGACAGTTATTGTTTTTGTTTACATTAAAAAGGTTACCAATCAGAACTCTGCCAGCAAATCAGGAGACTTAAGTTGATGTTTGTGAGATGTTTCCAAATAAAACAAATGTTAATTACTAATTGCCATGGGAAAAGATTGCTGAAGCCAACTTGACTTCAGTTCTCCTAGTTTAGGTTCTTCCTACAGAAGTGCATATGTAAGAGAGAATTACAAGTGTTTTTTTGCAGGGAGCTGAGCTTTCACCCCTACTTGCTAACACAAGTTAAAACATTGCAACACTAGGGCTTTTATGTTATTCAGACCACTTTAGTTAATACATTTTACAAATGTACCTGTTTTCCTAATGTGGAGAAGCCATGAAGTAAAGACAGAGTTGGAATGGCTTTGCGCACGTTTCCCCAGACTTGTCAAGTTTGATTTTTAAAACTGAAAGGCTAGCTTTGCATTTAAAACTGATAACCTTATAATACAGATAGTTTATCTTTAAAAATCCTGATGTCTCATTCATCTTTTCCCCGCTTCTTTTAAAGGCCACATAGTGAAATGAGCCAGAGTCCTCAATTCAGTTTTGAATCTTTACCTCAGAAGATTTGCCTGATCTGTGGTGATGAAGCCTCTGGTTGCCACTATGGAGTACTTACCTGTGGAAGCTGTAAAGTCTTCTTCAAGAGGGCCATGGAAGGTATTGTTAGACATTTTTATTTTTAATTACTTGAAATAAAACTTCCTAGACTCAGCTATGCACTTTTTAAAGATTGTTTTTTACTAGTAAAACAGATATTTGTAGGTATTATTAAGCCCTGTATTTTATTTCTTGGAAACAGATTTAAATATCTGCAGTAGCTGGTAAATTCTTTTGAAATGATTTACCTTACTATTATTTGCTTTACTTTTAATATTTACTACTTGGCTTTTTTCAGGTCTTCGCAGAGGTTCATAAAATCCTTCATTGCTTTAACATGTTTCTTAACTTTTCACAAATAGAATACAATTTTGTTTTAAAAAAGTCTGTGCGTTCCTGTTGAGGAGAAAATACCCTAGGAACGATTTGACATATTTACAAAAATATAAGCTCCTGTTGTGGAAGTCTGTGGGAATCTGTCTTGTTTCTAGAATATAGAATTTGGCTTCTTAAGATTTAAATAGTAGTAATTTTTAAAAACAACATTTGGTTTTGCATTCCATTCAGGACAGGTGTTAAGTAACAGAGACAGTCTGTAGGTGTCAATAATTAAATTAAAGTTTACATTATATATGAAAATAGTTTGGTATTTATTCAAGAATATATGCATTTGATTTCTTAAATCCAATTTTATGATTATTTATTCATTCAAATTATATGGACACTTACACAACTTAAAAATACGCTCTCGAAGATGTTGGGCCTATGTTTTAAATTGCATTTCAAACAGTATACTTCCAAACAGTAAATGAAACAACATACTAATTAGTTCTTTTAATTTTCAAGTTCTGCCTTCTTTTCTGTGCTTATCCTTTCATCCTGGGAAAATAATTTATAACTTAGTAATGTATAACGGGTGGTCAATTTTGGATAAAACTGATGATCTCAGTTTATACACTGGTACATTTTATATATGACATTGCATTTTACAGGGAGGCGATGAGGAAAAGCTCTGTTCTTCTAAAATGTGCTTGTATGACAAGCATGCATGTTAGCAAACACAAATCATTAGCCATAGTATATTTATCTAATTTATATATAGTTCTTTAAAATCAAAACTGTATGTTTTTGTGTTGTTTTAGATAGCTTATTCAACTTTATAGAATTTATAAGGTTTTGCATTAGATAAAAGGATAGCTGAACATAGAGACTTACTACATGAATGAGCATAGCTTAGGTGTAATGCTTATTTTATTTTTACAGTGTTAGTTTTATATATTATTTTGCATAATATTTTATGTTGTGCTATATATTTCATATTATTAAAACATGCATCATATTGAAGTTACTTGTAGATAATTATGTGAGGCTCTAATTGAGCAAAACACTTAAATGTGATCATTTTTAGGCAGGTACTTACGTTTCATTGACTTTCTTAACTGTCTTTTTTTCAGATGTTACACACATATTAATTCTACCTTAGTTTTTATTACTGCTCACATCAATTACATATAACAAAAATATAAACACCTGAAGTCTTTAACAAGGAATTTAATTAAAAAAAATCACATTAAAAATTTCCATTTAATTTTTTAATATTATCTTTGTTTTGTATTTAATTTTCTGTCTGGGGCATCGATTTGTCCAGATATAGGTGCCCAAATAGGCTAATCTACTTATAGATGTATTATATTACTACTTTTACATTAAAACATTTCAGTATATATCTCAGGCATATTTAGTCAGGGACAATGTGCCTTGAGCAGGGGTCTGGACTGGATGACCCTGTGCAGTCCCTTCCAGCCCTACTTATATGATTCTATATCACTTTTTGAATACAGTGTGAATAATTCTGTGTTAGCAAAGTATTAAGATGAGTTGTTTTCCTATGCACAAATATATGTCCCAAAAACCATGAAAAGAAAATGAAAAATAACTGTCTGTACAAATTCTTGGTTGTGCCTGCTTTACGGCTAGGTACAGACATTCAAAAATCCCAGGCTGGAATTGATCTAAGTTGCACGGTTTTCTGTAAGCAGTGTAGTGTAGAGCGGTAGTGAACAGAATACACATTTGCCCTTTGGAAAGGGGGGCGGGCGGACCTTAGACCTGGTTCTACTATTTTTAGACCAGTCTACATGTGCCAACCAGTATTCTGTTCTGTTACTGCTATAGAACTTTTTTTGCTGAACTTTTGCTGTCACTGGTATACACCAGTTTTTGCCCACTTATATCAGTAAAAGTGTAATGTCTATACCTGGCCTGTGTGGGATCTTCATCTTTGACAATAAAGAATGTTTCTCAGAGGATTAGGCATAATAGGAGTGATTTTGAAAAATTAGATTTTACAGGTCAGAGCGGCTTAGGAAGATGGGACATCACAATTGAAACAGCAGTTGACTGTTGTGAATTAACGAGGAAAGAAGACAAAAATGTATCAAACCTTGGATGAAAAAAGTGATCTGGTTGGGCAGATACATGATTAGATGGTATTACGCGGGAGAGGTTAGTCTATGGAGAGGTTTGAAAATCGAGAAGGTAGTCCTGAATTCAGTTGCAAGGTGGTAGACAGTCACAATGATTTGGTTCCAGTTAATGGGTTAAAGAATAGCTGTCTGTTTTCTATGTAGTTTAGAGTTTAGTGAGTTATTTTGGTAAATTCAGTAGTCACAAGTTAGTGTGGTAAACTAGCTGTCAACAAGAAACAACACAGCAAAAATACTACTGCAAATACAATAATAAAGTTCACAGTTATAAGTATACCGGTTGCAATTCAGATATATTCTTTTTACATTAAATGCACCTTTTCCCTATTCTTTCTTCAAAGTGAATGTATCTTTATTTATGAATTTAGGTAGAACTAGTCTAGACATGATTATTTTCTATTAATGTATATAAAATACTAAACTTTGAATGCAAACTATGGCCTGACCAGAAACAGGTGGTTTTTATTATTTCATATATCCTTATAACTATCAACTACCTGGTTTGTATGTGACAGTTGGTCTTACTGTTTTTCTGTGCCGATAAGTAGAAACAGCAGTATAGTAGAATAGGGGTAGAAGGAAACAAAGTAACAAGTATGGGCATAATAGTTATTTCTTTCTTTTTAAAATATTTTTTAGTGCACTATTCTAAATTGTTTCTTTTAGCGTCAGTATGCTGAATGATTACAATGCAATTGTCCATGATACTGTTTTTCATGCACATGTAATCTTTCTCATAAAAACTGCTTTGAGTTCCTTCAGTATATTGATATCCTATGTATTTTTTTTAAATCCATTCAATCAGAAAAATGGGGCCTACATCTGTTTTCCTAAAGATGCTATCAATTCTCTCTCTTTATTGATTCTGTCTGTAAAACTGGAGAGACAAACTTAAAGATTACTTTACACTGGTTGGGTATATTGTAATGACATTTGCATATAATCAGCAGAGAGATGGATACAATTTATAGGTGAAGGAAAACTACATAGTCCTTGTGAAAAAATATATAATGTAGATACAGAATTAAACTGTTTTAGTATGCATACGGCCAATTTTTAAAATTAATATGACTGCTCCTAGGCCAGTTTCAGCCATTTTAGTTCTCAGTTCTTTATGAGTTAATATGTAAGCATGAAGGATGACTATGTATATTTCCTTTTATTAGAATTGTGAATAAAAATAGCCCAACTATCATTATTAACATTATCTAATTAGAAAAAAAAATCACCTTTGTAAAAGTTGATGGTAGTCTTATGTAGAGTTTAGATTATGCAATGGTTTGGATAGAGATGATCCTGCCTCAGGTGGGGAATTGGACCACATGACCTGTGGAAGTCTCTTCCAACCCTACTTCTCTTTAATTCTGTGAAATCAAGCTTTTTTATTCAGTAGAATGAACAAAGTACATTTTTCTTTTCTTGCTGAAGCAAAAGTAGAAACAAAACATTTGAAAATCATTTATGTACTACCATGTTTGGGCAGAAATGCATTCTTTTTAAGTCATACCCCAGGTATAGATCTAGAGTCATATTGTAGAGAATAGCTTTTGGTTGTGGGAGCAGGTTTAAATCTTGCTGAAAATAAAAAGCCTTTCCAGGGAAAAACAGGACTGTTGGGATAATGGCCAGTGCGGGAGCCAGCGGAAGGGGTGGGGATTGGGGAGAGGAAAGTTGTAAGGATAGATAATAGGAAAAATAGTAATAAAAAAACCACACAAACCATTTTACATCTTAGGGATTGCATACTTGTGTTAGTTTTACTCGTTCATCTGAAGAGGACTATTGTAATGATGTATTCATTGTGCCAGCTCCTAAAAAAAGTGTGTAACAAAACAAAACAAATAAACAACAAATGGAAAAAAACCCCAAACCGCACCCCCAAAACCAAAAAAAACCAAAACCCCAAAACAAAACCCCTCCCCCCCCGACTTTCACTTAGCAGCAGAGGAATCATAACAACTATTAACAAATACTCTCAATTAAACAATTTTAAATGAAGGTCTGCACTCTATTCCATCAGTGAACAGAAAGTAAAGAGCACCATACATTTAAGATTCATAATAAACTTTCAGAAAGGCTATTTTTAGAATGATCAAATAAGTTATTTTAGGATATTTTTGTAAGTAACTTGCAGTTGAATAAGGAATTAAAAGATGTTGTCACCTGGGCTGTATCTTTAATTTTTAGTTTTATAAAATTAGAAGTAATCTTTCTAAATGCGGAATAACTGCAATAATAGAGTATGTAGAAGAACTCTTAATTCTAAAAGTCTTAGGAAATTTTCTGCACATATAATCAGGCAGGACTACTAAAACTACAAAATTGTGCAATGGGCAGGGCAAATTTACTTCACTCACATGTTATGAAGAGGAATCAAAGGTTAAGGTTTGTTGGATCCTGGACTTCTGCCACTTGTTCTTCATACATGGTCTTTTGGCAGCCTACATCCATGCGTTTGAGTTGCAAGTGACTTTTTGCAAGAGCTTTGATGTACAAAAAGAAGGTACATTTATGTAGACGTTGAATAATATTGTAAGTGGTGTCTCTTCTAAATGACCCTTACTTTTTATTTTG